CCTACTGAAGAGCGAAACTCGGACCTGGCACGCTTAAACAAATATTTTAGAGAAAGCGCCGAGGCGAAGCACTAAACCATGAACACATGTAGCAACAGTTGTGACAGCTCTACATAGCCTACCGCCTTAGGGAGTATGAAGGGAGAAACAACGATAACCCGTAACGCTACTGTTGTTAAGATGTCTCTGCATCACCACGTGGATCTTCGGGGTGTTGCGGCTTGGGTAGATCCAAGTGAAACATACAAAGCCTGCCAAAGCTCCGGCACAGGCATCGGGAGCGGGTTTCTCCGCACATCCATGAACATTACATCCAAGTTAAATCAATCCCCTCCCGCACTAGTTCATGACACTGATACATACGATTTTTCAGGAGGTAGTTTAGCTCTCCAGACCCGCTGAGAACTCGCAAAAGTTACGATTCGTTTTCTTCATAAAAAGCAAACACTGTTCACGGCACGCATGGTACAAGTTTTTCCCTTGTTTGCAGTGTATTTTAACGAGTCAATTTCAAACACTTTGGTCTAGCGCCATCTGGTGACCGCCACTGGACGGCGGGCGGCCAAGTAATCAGTGAGGCCTCTTGCCCGATCGACTCGATCCATAATCTAATATTTGCAAATCTGCTCATCCATATTCATCTCTACGAGCCATATCTCTTTAATATTTCCGCTGAATACACTTGTAAGTAGACCTGCTGGTTTACGTGGAAATAGTGGCTTCATCCATTGTTTAGGCGTCGTACTTTAAATTCAGCTAATCCAAACTTTTCCAGGTGATAGCTTCAAATTGCTCTTCTTCTCCAATGCTCACACGCAGCATATTCGATGCATAACGCTGTAAAGCGTAAAGTAAGCAAGCCGACTTAAAATGGTCAATCATTCTGTTGAGGCTGTGCCCGCTTGGCGGGTTGGAAGTGCGATAAGTAGCTTCCAGAACGGCCTCTGCAGGACATTGTCAATCCAAGCAGCCGGCTGCTTGCACAGTTGTACCACATGAATTTTTCAAAAAAGTTTACTGAGTAGGATCAGTCAGACCAACCTCACAAATGTTCCGTGGAGCGTGTTTAATCATCTATGCATAAACCAATGTTTAGGTAGATCAGAATAGGCACCTAGTCAGGATGCTCAGAATAGCGCCGAGTGCCACAAGGTACCCGGTGGGACACAAAAATACAGTTCTTTTAGAATCTTTTGGAAATTTCATTCCGGTCCATTTACTTTTTGGCAAGGCTGTAAGTATATTGGCGTTCTAAGACAAAAGCAAATGGATTTAGGCTGTAGAAAGCGAGGCAATAACCTTCGCGCCCTTAGGGATTGACAAACGTACAATTCGCTCTTTTCAATCTACTGACCGAGTAAGGGTTGGTCTAAGCTGGCGCTTCTAATAAATACGTGCTTACCTGAACATGCGCCCTGCGCGCGCACGAAACTGTGCGACTTGACTGTTTTCGGTTTCCCTAGATATAATTCCGTTTGCGTGTGCGTGGGTTCGTTAGTGCACGATTTCCTGCTACGCGTATCGGACAGTGGACAATCAATCTCCGATGAGTCATCCTTGTGTGACGTGATTTAATAATAATGATAATAATGTCTATTCCCAACTTGTGGGTGTAGGGTAAAAAAGGTGAGTTCTGTGATCCTTGGGGCGATGTAAGCTGTGTAGTCAAGTGGGTCACGATTGTGTGGTGTGGTTTGTGAGCAGCAAAAAAGATAGATCCCGTGATCTAGTGAGGGGCGGTGAGATGTACAGCCATGTATGTGGATGCTGTGCTGCAGCCTCTAATACTAACAGGCTACACTGCGATCAGAGCGAAATTGTCTCCAGGTGAAAAACCTGTGGGAGGTATAATCACGTTGGTCTGCCCGAATTGGTGGTCATAAAACTTATCAGCTCCTGTGATTTTGCTGTCACAAAAATTATAGGACGGCAACCAAGGCACCGGGGTATAAGTCGCAATTTGGTAGTCATTCCAGCGCAAGACATATGATGCCTCCAAGACACACGAAGTCTTCTCAGTTAAACGATACCCGATCTTTGTTGAATCAGCATCCTGAACTAAAAGCAAACCTCTGGCTGATAAGCAGACAAAAATTTTAGGCGAGCTGTGCTTCGACATGGAGAATTCTGAGTCATCAGAATACAAAAGTCGCCCATCTTCTCCTTAGTTATACCTTCGACTATGCTAACAAGGCTGGGTAAACAGGTGCATGCGGATTCATAACACATAACTATGGAAACACCTTATTTAATTTGCCCACAGGAAACCCCCTTCTGCTTCGCGACAGAGTGACCGCGCTGATCGGCTCAAAACGGCAGGATAAGTGCGTCCTCCAGTCTTTACTTCCCTGGTGAGTTGAAGGGAATCCTTAATGTCTTACTGACCCCCTGTACCACACATAAGGTTGCTCCAAACTCTTCCAAAATTTAAGAATGACACACGTTGTTTATTTCTGCAAGAAGATACGCAGCAGCATCCCACTAATCGTGTTGGCCAAGGCATTAGGTAGAGTTTTCGCAGAAAATCCAGTTAGAGCGCACTGTAAATGAGATATTCAGTGGGGGACTGCCATTGACATCAATGTAGTTTGCAGGTAGAAAGCCCATCAAAATACGCGGAAACTATTGTAGGTACATACGACCCAAGAATGCCAAAGCAGCGTGTCGCGATCCACACCATACACAGCGACACAACAAATAACCTGGTGAAATCTGCACGGAAGCTAGCTGTGCAGTCCTAAACAGTTCTGTCCGCAGCATGACCACTCGACTTTGAACGTGACAGCCAACACCAAAAACATCAATCTAGATTAACGGGTCAAAGTGATGGCACTAACACTTCGTATTGGCCAGATTGTGTTCCGACGGAATTCCATGCGGAGTTTTAGCGAACAGAGCGGTAAGCTTGTAGTAGACTCTCTCAGATGAATTCGAACTCAGTCACATATTTGGAAGATTCCCTTTGGGAAAGGGATGATTTTAGAGCATATTTTCGCATATTGTCATCATCATCTCCCCGTGAAAAGAAGACATGGACATGAGAGTACATCTGAAAGGTTGTTTACGAAGGTCAGAAATTCAAGTAGCCCCAAAATGGATCTTTGAGGAACTTCAGTGGGGACCGGTGCCGAAAATATGCGGTTTCAGCCCGCTTTCAATCGTCATGTTCTGTCTGATAAGAATGTCTGTGGAGAAGTGGAAGTCTCGAGGTCGTTCAAATGATTTCAAGAAGTAGAAATGCGCGCAATCGGATATGAATATTCCGTCCCTATTTTTGGTTAAACCGTACATAAGTACGAGCACGAGGACGATTCGTGAGGTGTCCGGAATCTATAAGAGTGACAGGTTTTAGGTGGTGAGGTGATTCATGATGGTCCGTTTCGGAATGTGTTGCATTGCCTTGCACGCTATGCAAATAGGACCAATAGACCTGCAGCCGACTGATTTGGCGGTAGTTGATTTTGTGGATTGGTGTGATATTGGCTTCCTTCTGAGCTGACAGAGGGCAGTCTTCATCGTGCAGCTGACGAAACACTAAGTGGAAGTGCTTTGTCAGTGTAGCCAACTTTTCCTTCGGGATTCTTGGATGGACTTCGTCTGGTTAATGGGATTCATTGTGCAAAGGTTGACGAGCCTCCACGTCGGTGAAGAACAGCTCAGCGGGCGACCGTTCATAGGAATATGACAAGATTGCTGGGACGGAGTACCGGCCTACGTAGTGCAGAAAACTGCATCTTGAATCTAGCTCTTCGATGGGGTGGGGTATACATGGTTTATTTGATCCCAGCCGATTTTCTTTTGTTTTTGTGTGGACTCCAAGGTCGTCTGCGATCATTGTGGCTACCTCGGTTTGCCATTTTGGCACAATGTTGTCGTGTTTGTAGCTTTGGCTATCCAGGTCTCACGTGACGACTGAGTTTTCAATTGGACAGGTCGTTGGAAGCTGTCAGTGTCGCACCTTCAGTGGTTTTGGGGAAATTGCAGTACTCCCCGACGTTAAGGTCAATGCCTAGGACTAATCAGTTGGCGGACTTTGCTGCTTGCCTCTTCAGATCTGAACCAATCCATCTTGGACCACTACGCCTCTATCGTTAATTAGGAAGTAAGCTGAGATTTTTTCACATTCACGGGACACTGTGACCTTGCTAGGCTTGCCCCTACCGAGCATCGCAGTCGCTGGTTGGTGACGGGTCTGCAGCGGTTTGGCAGAAGCCTGAGTCTGGGTCAGAGTCGGTTGCGTCGGCGTGCTTTCAAGAGCGCAAGAACCCATAACTACCCACTGGTTTTGCCCCAACACTCTAGGACCGACCCAGTTTTAGCGCATTAAGAAGACCTGATTTTGTGGACACCGATTAAATGCTGACAATACACACCAAAATTCTCGGCACAGCAGTGGCCCAAATGTTATGTTTATCTTTTTTCTGCGTGACTGTTCCACACGAGGCTGGGGTATCAGTGTTATTCGCGTCCAAATTGAGATGTAGTATTTGTGACGACCTTTCTGACTTAGAAATGGAGACCTGCTTTTTGCGAAAAGCGACCCACGTTGCCTCCTATCAGAGTTGTTGCCCCGACCGCCATTATTCTATTTGGAGAACCGAAAATTAAAGGGATGCAAGGAAATGGACCCAACAGACGGAACGAGATGAATACAATACAGAAGTAAAGAACTATAAAAAGAGAGTAGGAATAAAACATCTTCCTTGCTTCCACTGTTATTATTTGTATGTACTGTATTATACTTTGGAAAGAAGTGAACAACCATTACAGCAGATTCTCTAGTCCCAACGGTACTTTTGAAGGCTCAACAATTAACTTCCATTTATCGCGGATTGTTGGAAGCCCATTTCAGCTGCTCAAAGTGAATCCCAATAAACCCACTGCTTCACTGGTTGAAGCAGTGGACGCTCTAGGGAAGCACGCTAGGGACGACCGGGCACATGGGCCCATTGTTTAAATGTACTACCGCCGATTACATTCGTTAAATTTTCGGGAGCGGGATGTACTCGGGGAATGCGTTCGGCTCACGCGAGGAGGAGTACGATTATTTGTTCAAAGGTATTAGATAGGAGCTCTGGCTTAATAAAAAAATTCAGTCGTTTTAATCGGTGACTCAGGTGTTGGAAAGAGCAACCTATTATCCCGATTTACTAGGAATGAATTCAATTTGGAGAGTAAAAGTACGATTGGTGTGGAGTTCGCCACCAGGTACTGGCCTCTAGAATTGTTCTGTTACACCTATTCAGGAGCGTTCACCAGGTACTTCTAGAATTGTTCTGTTACACCTATTCAGGAGCGTTCAGTTTGGTGGCAAAACTATAAAGGCACAAATTTGGGATACAGCCGGACAGGAACGTTACCGAGCCATAACATCCGCGTGAGTCTTACCTGTTTGCAGCCTTCGGTTTTTACCATTATCGTTTTCCTGTGGAGGAAGATTGGAACCCGTCATTCTGCGCTCTGGTGTGCGCATGTTTGTAAACGTACCGTTTGAGCAAATCTTGGCCTCGTTTGCTGCACTGTGAGTCTTAGCATCCAGTCGGGATCCCGTATGTAATTTCGGTTTAGTTGAATACGCAGATGGGTCCGTTCGAGCTTTATTGGGTCAGTTAGAAGATAAGAGTTGGGTTGTGCAACGAGAAATTAAACCAGCTAATATACCGATGACAGTTGAACCACCGGTGGAGACTCAATACTGTCACTCGTTTCTTGGCTCATAACCAAATTGGCATCGTGTCCGACAATCCGATTCCCACCAGGTCATTGCAAGTTGGCAGCAAGCCCGACAGGTAAAACTCGAAGATGCTACCATCGGGCCCCTGGTCCGTCCCTCACCTCGATTGCTCCCGTCAAGGTGTGACAGCATGGAATTACTTAGCCCACATGCTCTTTTCAGCTCTTATGGCTCTTGATATCGAAATTGCATTTAAAGAAAGACTAGGCTTGGTCTGGGTGGGTGATGATGATATTTAGCGATGATCTGTCCGCACAGTCTGTAGACAACTTTGGGTGCGATTTTCACCTCTGTCATCTGTTTTTGCATATGTAATCAGTTAGCTGGGCGGTTTAGGTACCACTCTACCAGCCGGGAGGTCCATGGTTCGAACTCGACCTTGGCATCTCGACTACTGCTTTCTAGGCTCAGATATCCTGGAAGTATATCGGTTGTTCGTCCAAAATGCGTGGTAGCTGTGCACCGAAAGGGTGCCGTGACCGAACCACTACTATGTCAATCTATTATCCTCAGAGAAATGTCATAGCTCAGTGGTATCGATATGGATTAGCACAATTGCCCTTTTCAGTCTACCAATACGATACTGGCAATGAGCGCGGAGCATGACAAACTTCTCACGGCGATCAGAGTTGTCTGTCTGGCATTCCGCATGTAATCAAATTACCAGTGAACGTCGAGTTCGCCACTACTGATTTGTGCTAGCAGTTCTATCCCGGAATGCGACGATTATGACGACGCACCCAAATCCCTTGGACGTCGAGTAGTGAAGAGTAAGTAAGGATCGAAAGATCTGGTGCATAGTGGAAGTTGGGGTGGTGGAGTGTTTTGGCACCGGAGATAGTTTGCCCTGCATCACCTGATTCGATCGACCAGCCAAAGGTGCCCTTATTGAGACGATAAAAGCAAACGACGGTCCGATGATTCATCTGCAAGAATGCAGATTGCAGCTAGTTAACTGAACTCCGAAAATCAGTGAGAACCGTCCGACAAATTCCGGGATAGCGACACTACTTTCCGCAATCAACAATGTTCGAAAACCCGTCTACTCTGCTTATTGGTAAACACAGTGGCTGTGCCCGTGTAGCAGAGGTGTCCCCCACATATTCTTGGTCTTCCTCGAAGCGCTGTGTGCTGTGTCAGGCATGGTTGTTCTATGTTCAGTTCTCTCTTCAGTTTTGTCATCAATATGATCTAATGCCCTTGCGGTCAAAACCTTCACAGGATATTCACTTATATCAAGTACACATACCGTATAGCTCTTCTTAGATCGCCTCATGCCTGCGCAGTGTAAATTTCTGAGCAAGAATGGATAGGATCAAACGTGATTATTATGCTTGCGGATGAGTCAATCCGGCTAACAAGCAGGCCTAGCTCAATCCTTAAGAACTAAAAGCTACTCAACGTATTTCCAAGTCCAGACCTCAAACTCCGCGACGAAATGACGAAGTGAGGTGAATATGACTAAATACACTCCCTGTATCATTTTGCAGCGACTAGGTTTAAAGGTCGAGATGCCTCAGTGGAGAGAGCGCGAGTTTACTGACCTGAAGGTCTGTGATTCGAACCCGACGTCTCTCTCAACTTCCTTTGTCTAGGCTTGGGTGACCTGGCCCTCGTGCTTCCTTCGGGTGGGATGGAACCTTGGCACTAGATCCAAGTGGATTCCATATAACTTTTTGTGTCTGTTAAGCTTCTGACGCACAATTGAGAGGGAGCTGCTTCTCCAACTATTGTTGAATGAGCACCCACATTTGGCGCCATAGGTTCTAAACCCAAGCTGTACTTCGGTCCCCCATACCTGCCCAGCATCATAATTGCAAAATTACTTATACTGATTGGCTGTTTGCACAACCTGCATTTTGCCTACACAGTTTACGAATCTCTCCCAACACTGTCTGGTCATTGGCATGGTAGAATGCCTTACTGAAGTTGACACACCATTCGGATTGCTCACCCTTATTCCTTGGCTCTGCACCTTGCTTCCCGAACTAGAATCAGGTTGGTGCTATATTCTATTCTCCGGCAGAATGAAATCGATAACTCGAGCTGTGACATTGATCTACTGATCTCGCTTGAGTGCTACATACCCCTGTGGTTCAAGCTGACTGGAACTTGGTTTCCCAGGGTGAACCCATTCCACGCACTGCGAATAATCGTATTGTTAGACAATGTTTGACCCAGTTCATACCTTTCTTTGAGTTAGGCAGTAGCAGGCTTCCACCAGGTGAAGCACCGAAGCTATCATTTTCCGAGGAGACACACTGGGGAAGCTTGTTCCTGAAAATCCATAATCCAGCCGTTGTTCATGGTCCAAAACAATCAGAAAACTAAATCTTATCGAGAGCTGGCGCAATTTCTGTTGTACACAGCAGCATTTGGAGCCAAACGGTTAGGATTCTTGCTGTATGTGCGCCATAGCCAGAACAGCTATCCGCGGCTGAGTTAGCCAGACGATCGAGTCAGAAGTTTGCGGCTCGTTCCAGGAAGTAACCTCCTTTCTTTGTCTTGTAAGTCGGATTTTTGGATCATTTTCAAGGTGTAGTAACTAAAACATTTCTTAGCCTGTACAAATGGAAAGTAACTGATCTTAAGAACGCCGGATAGTCCATTTTATTTATCAGTTTCACCTCTGGTTAATTTGCCTGCAGGGTCTCAGTTTCCAAATTTATGGCTGCGTGCCCAGGTACTCAGGCAAATAAAAGCTAAATATGTACTACTAATACCTGAGAATCTGTTAAACGTAGCGGCACCCAAAATGCACACCCACCGTCAGATATGTTCAAAGGCACCTTGTCCATACTCTCCTTGAAAGCTTTTTCGGCCTCTGCGGGACATAAACTCCGTTCCGCGCCTCGAGTGTTCTAAGATCCATGGGCTTTGCCACATAACGTTATCGATGTTGTTAGGTGGGGCAACCTGACTTCAATCAAGCTGACGAGGATCAACCAAAAGATACTACCATTGACTGAAAACAAAAAGTCCTGTGCACGTCCCAACGAACTGCGGCAACTTGACCACAACCCACATCAGTAGAATTTCCTAGACGTCTCCGGATGACAAAGTATACGGTCTCCATACCTTTACAGACGATTTCAGCGCCCAGCTGGGAGAAATCGATAAGCACAGAACCATCCAGGCCACGTGTATGTTGTTGATGTCCTGGAAACTGCTAACGGTAACAACTTTATTCTGGTCACCATCTGCTTATCACAGGCAGGAAGTTTGACCACAGCTCTATCCTAGCCGTGAGCAACCGGGCACTTGAATCGTACGCGACAACCAGCCATGCATATCGATGTTTAAATTCAAAATGGCCGCTTGGATTGAATTATGGACTAAATTATCATCATCATCACCATTCTCGCCAGAGGTGGCAATACACCAGCAGTAGACACTGGTTCGTAGTTAATTTACAGTCACCGGGATAGATTTATTGAGAAATGAAAAAAGGAGGAGTAAGAGGTCATCAAGAGAAATTTTATGCTCATGTGGGAAATCGCCAATTTCAATGTACCCATGCCTTCCAACAGCGTTAGACCAAACACATTTCAGCATCCTATGTGAATAAGGTCTCACCAACGGGAGTGTTTCGAGCTCTACCTAAGACAAGTCCAGCGTAAAACCACTGAGCCTTTTTATTTTGGCGATCGCGGCGTTCAGTGCTGCCTGCCCGATTTCTGAATAAGGTCCAACGGGAGTGTTTCGAGCTCTACCTAAGACAAGTCCAGCGTAAAACCACTGAGCCTTTTTATTTTGGCGATCGCGGCGTGCGTTCCTGCCTGCCCGATTTCTCCAATTCGACCACGGGACCACTGGATGTCGCCGAGGTCGTTATCCATGATTGATGCCAGGAAAGCCATACCAGCAGGCAACGAGTACGACGGCGCACGCAAATCCCTCAAACGCCAAATAGTGAAGAGTCTAAGGAAAGACCGAGAGCTCTGGTGGATATCGAAAGCTCGGGAGATGGAGAAGGCTTTTGCTACGGGAAATAGCCGTGTCCTTTATCAACTGATACGATCGACTGGCCCTAGGAAAGCAACGGTCAGCGAAACGATAAGTGAAAAAGATGGCTCATTAATTCACTCGCAAAAATGTCGACTGGAGAGATGGGCCGAACACTTCGAAGAGCAGTTCAGCTGGCCTCCTGCAACACAGCCGGTGGAGATAGTGCATACAGGCGAATGGAATGTAAACCTTGATCGCCATTCGGAAGAAGAAATAAGGTACGAAGTAGCCGCACTGAAACGTGAGAAGGCACCAGGACCGGACGGTCTGTATCCAGCCCTCTTCAAAGAAGGCGGAAATTCCCTGGTGACCCACTTGACAAAGCTTATTTGTACTATGTGGGACGAAGAGAAAGTGCCTGCAGAATGGGGCATGTTGACAGTTATCCCTATCTTCAAAAAGGGTACACGGACGCTATGC